GAGCTTGCAGTGAGCTGAGATCCGGCCACTGCACTCCAGCCTGGGTGACAGAGCGAGACTCCGCCTCAAAAAAAAAAAAAAAAAGAAGCACCTTTTTTCTCCACATCCCTCTTTCTCCAACCTCACATTCTCTGAAGCTACTCCAAAGGGTGGTCATCCCACAACTGCCTTCTTTCTTTCTTCAGGTCTTAACACTGGCCTTCAAGGCCGCACCTCTCCTCCCAACGCGAATGCCACTCCAAAGTATGACAGTTCTGGTTATAGATATTATTGGCAAAGCAGAGTTATGGAAGAAGAGTACAACACAATAGAATATTTGACACTTAACACACTAGTGAGACAACTCCAGATCTAAAGGGGTTCATTAAATTTGAAAACAATCAGGTCGGTTTTAAGCATAAAAAACAAAAATGAAAAAGCAGAACAGGTAATAAGGACCCAAAATACCAGAAAAGTGTTTCAAGTGACAACTACAACTGTTTTTTAGAGTGGGGACCAATTCACTTATCAGCTAACCACAAGTTGGCTTAGTAGAGTGGCAAGATCATGGATTTTTGAGTCAGACAGAACAGCCTGGCTTCAAATACTGATTCCATCATAACTGTTTACGTTCCAGGGCAAGTCATTAAGCCTCTCTGATCTTTAGTTTCCTCAATCATTAAATAAGGTAATACCCATCTTGAAGGAATGTTGTGGGGGAATGAATAATGTATGTGAGCAAGCTAGCCCTCAATGGAACTTAAATAAATGTTAGTTTCCTCCCTCTTAAATAGCTCAAATTAAAAGGTGGCTCTGCTGACAAAAACTGATGGTGTGCTGGGTCCTATTTCTCAAAATTCTATAATGTAGTTTTGTTTTTGAAACCTCACAAAAAAAATAACCAGTTTTCAGCTTGCAGCATGTTATTTCAAACAAGGTTTCCGTTAAGCACTACTTAGCCCAAAGACCACAAAATCTACTCGTATACCAGAAATTCACCTCAGCATCTTAACTGCAAGACTTTTCCTTTTTCTTTTCTCTTATAGCATTTTCTTCCTCTATTAAGAGGACTAATGTCATTAATCTAAGACAAATGATTCATTAAAGGAAAATTACACAAGACCAAAGTGCACATACGAAGCTTTCGATCCATTTCTTCACATCTTCTAACTTCATTCACAAATTTCCGTTGGAAAACATTCACATCTGGATTTAACTGAAAAATAAAAACACAATACCAAACATTGAAATATTGTATCTATTTCTTCTGTTTCTCAAGCAACACATTCTGCAAAGTGAAAAACTAATTTTGTGTAAATGCATGATGCAACACTAATCAAAATTGTCTACTGATTCGAAAAACTGCTTTACGGCCAGTCACACCAGCTAAGGATAAAAACTTCCTCCTTCGTTGCTGCAACATTACTGGAATGGAGGTAAATTAGGTAAAACACAATGGTACAAAATGTTCTTCCTAGACCAAAAGTCTCAGTGAGCTTCCTTCCCACTACCTAAAATTTGGGCAATGAATATCACAGAAACGCTCTCTGTTTTCCTTCTCTCTTTCTTTCCAAGCAGAAGAGGAACTTCTCTTGTTTTTCTGTCCCAAGGTCTTCACCTTCTCAGTGACAGGCTTTAGTTTTTTCATTCATACCATAAGTAATTTTCTTTTTCTTTTCTTTTCTTTTTTTTTTTTTTTTGAGACAGAGTCTTGCTCTGTCACCAGGCTGGAGTGCAGTGGTGCGATCTCAGCTCACTAAAGCCTCTGCCTCCCAGGTTCACGCGATTCTCCTGCCTCAGCCTCCTGAGTAGCTGGGATTACAGGTACACGCCACCATGCCCGGCTAATTTTTTTGCATTTTTAGTAGAGACAGGGTTTCACCATGTTGGCCAGGATGGTCTCGAACTCCTGATCTCAGGTGATCCACCCGTCTCGGCCTCCCAAAGTGCTGGGATTCATGCATGAGCCACCATGTCTGGCACCATAAGTAATTTTCAAAGCAATATGACAGATGTTCAGGAATATACAAATAAAAACAAAACAAGTACCTACTCACTAAAAAGCTAGCAACCTGGCCAGTCACAGTGGCTCACACTTGTAATCCCAGCATTTTGGGAGGCCAAGGTGGGCGAATCACCTGAGGTCAGGAGTTCAAGACCAGCCTTGCCAACATGGCGAAACCCCATCTCTACTAAAAATACAAAATTAGCTGGGCATGGTAGCGCACACCTGTAATCTCAGCTACTCGGGAGGCCGAGGCAAGAGCATCGCTTGAACCTGGGAGGCAGAGGTTTCAGTGAGCCAAGATCATGCCACTGCACTCCAGCCTGGGTGACAGAGTGAGACTCTTGTCTCAAAAAAATAAATAGGCTGGACGTGGTGGCTCATGTCTATAATCCTACCACTTTGGGAGGCCGAGGCAGGAGAATTACCTGAGCTCAGGAGTTCAAGACCAGCCTGGGCAACATGGCGAAACCCTGTCTCTACTAAAAATACAAAAAATTAGCCAGGCGTAGAGGTACATGCCTGTAATCCCAGCTACTCAGGAGGCTGAGGTACAAGAATCAATTGAACCTGGGAGGTGGAGGTTGCAGGGAGCCAAGATTGTGCCATTGCACTCCAGCTTGGGCAACAGAGCAAGACTCTGTCTCAAAAAAAAATAATAATAAATTAATTAAATTAAATAAAAAGCTTGCAATCTAATAGAGAAGGTGAGCCCAACCAATAAAATAGCATGTGATAAATTCCATAAAAGTAACACAAAGAAAAAACTATATTTACTCAACATTTATGAAGCACCAAATATGTGTCAGATACTGAACTAGGCACTGGGGAAAATACAAAGAATAAGCTATGTCCTAGCTTTGAAAAGTTGAACAACACAATTTATTAGCTTAATCATGTATATGTGTATATATATTATATGCATACACACAGAGAAACATACAAACACATTGGCCGGGCACAGTGGCTCATGTTTGTAATCCCAGCACTTTGGGAGACCGAGGCGGGCAGATTATGAGGTCAGGAGTTCGAGACCAGCCTGGGCAACACAGTGAAACCCTGTCTCTACTGAAAATACAAAAAAATTAGCTGGGCGTGGTGGCGGGCACCTGTAATCCCAGCTACTCGGGAGGCTGAGACAGGAGAATCGCTTGAACCTGGGAGGCGGAGGTTGCAATGAGCTGAGATCGCGCCACTGCACTCCAACCTCGGTGACAGAGTTAGACTCAGTCTCAAAAAAAAAAAAAAAATACAAACACACAACACATACATATCCATGCATTCAACAGTTCTCTCTTCAAGAACTCAATATATTAATATTAGAGGAATCGAAGGCAAAAATTTTTATTAGCGATTAAGATTAATAAGCTATGTCCCGGTCTTCAGCTCTATAGAAGAGACAGATGCAAACCAATTATTACAATTTGTTGTGATAAATGCTATTAAAAAGGAAGTAAAAGATTTGGAAAACTGTTGGCAGTTTCTTACAAAGTTAAACATACACCTACCCAACCCATGACTGAGCATGCCACTACTCAGTTCCCGTTGACCTTTGAACAGTGTGGGTTTGAACTCTGCTGGTCCACTAATACACAGATTTTCTTCCACCTCCGCCAGCCTGAGACAGTAAGACCAATCCCTCCCTTTCCTCCTCCTCAGCCTCCCTCAATATAAAGACAATAAGGATGAAGACCTTCATAATGATCTACTTCCAGTAAACACAGTTTATCTTCCATATGATTTTCTTAACAGTATTTTTTCTCTAGCTTACTTTATTCTAAGAATACAGTGTACAATACATATAACATACAAAATATGTATTAATCGACTGTCTATGAAATTGGTAGGGCTTCTGGGTCAAAAGCAGGCTATCAATAATTAAGTTTTGCGGAAGTCAAAGTTGTATGCAGATTTTTGATTGCATGGGGAGATCAGCACCCCTAACCCCTGCATTTTCAAGGGTCAACTGGGTTTGCTTAAGAAAAATCAGGCCGGGCGCGGTGGCTCAAGCCTGTAATCCCAGCACTTTGGGAGGCCGAGATGGGCGGATCACGAGGTCAGGAGATCGAGACCATCCTGGCTAACATGGTGAAACCCCGTCTCTACTAAAAATAGAAAAATCAGGCCGGGCGCGGTGGCTCAAGCCTGTAATCCCAGCACTTTGGGAGGCCGAGATGGGCGGATCACGAGGTCAGGAGATCGAGACCATCCTGGCTAACATGGTGAAACCCCGTCTCTACTAAAAAAAACACAAAAAACTAGCCGGGCGAGGTGGCGGGCGTCTGTGTTCCCAGCTACTCGGGAGGCTGAGGCAGGAGAATGGCGTAAACCCGGAAGGCAGAGCTTGCAGTGAGCTGAGATCCGGCCACTGCACTCCAGCCCGGGCCACAGAGCCAGACTCCTTCTCAAAAAAAAAAAAAAAAAAAAAAAAAGAAAAATCAAAACCCGTAAATTAAAAAAAAAGACTTTTACAATAATGTTACTTCAGCTTTAATCATAATAGCCCCAAATGAGTAATGACAAAAGAAAGGATGAAAACATTGTGCTGTATTCATACAATGAACTACTTACTGTTCGGCAATTTTAAAAAATGAACTACAGATACTTGCAAGAAACAGAGGTTGAGTAAAAGAAGTCAGACATTAGAGTTTGCAATTATGAGTCATTTACATATAATTCAAGAACAGGGAAAACTAATCCTATGACGACAGCAATCAAAACAGGTTACCTATTAAGGGTAGCAACTGACTAGCAGTAGACACAAGATACTTTTCTGGACTGATGAAAATGTTCAGGCTGGGCCTGGTGGCTCACGCCTGTAATCCTAGCATTTTGGGAGGCCGAGCGGGGGTGGATCACCTGAGGTCAGGAGTTTGAGACCAGCCTGGGCAACATGGTGAAACCTTATCTCTACTAAAATTAAAAAAAAAAAATTAGCCGGGCGTGGTGGCGTGTGCCTGTAGTCGCAGCTACACAGGAGGCTGAAGCAGAATTGCTTGAACCCAGGAGGCGGAGGTTGCAGTGAGCCGAGATCGCACCACTACACTCCAGCCTGGGCAACAGAGCGAGATTCCGTCTCCAAAAGAAAAAAAAGTTCCATATCCTGATTGGGGTGCTGGTTACAGAGGTGTATAAAGTTATCAATTCAGCAAATTGTACTCTTAAGATGTGTACATTTCAGCCAGGCACAGTGGCTCACACCAGTAATCCTAGGACTTTGGGAGGCTGAGGCAGGAGGATCGCTTGAGTCCAGGAGTTCAAGACAAACCTGGGCAACATGGCGAGACCCTATCTCTATTTTTTTCTTAATGTTAAAAAAAATTAACAGAACTAGAAGAAACTGAAATATCTGTTGGCCAGGTGTGGTGGCTCATGCCTGTAATCCCAGCACTTTGGGAGGTTAAGGCAGGTGGATCACCTGAGGTCAGGCATTCGAGACCAGCCTGGCCAACGTGGTGAAACCCCGTCTCTACTAAAAATACAAAAATTAGCTGGGCATGGTGGTGCATGCCTATAGTCTCAGCTACTCGGGAGGCTGAGGCAGGAGAATTGCTTGAACCCAGGAGGCGGAGGTTGCAATGAGCTGAGATTGCATCACTGCACTCCAGCCTGGGCGACAGAGCGGACTCTGTCTCAAAAAGAAAATCAACAACAACAACAACAACAACAACAAAAAACACACATAGAAGAAATAAAAGCAAAAAAAGTAACTGTACGGGTTACCTCTGGGAAGAGACACTGGAGGTTTCAATTATACATGGAATGTTTCCCTCTTAAGTAGATAGTAGAAACACAGGTGGTCACTATAATATTCCCCCCACCTCTTTTTTTTTTTTTTTTTGAGACAGAGTCATGCTGTCACCCAGGCTGGAGTGCAGTGGCATAATCACAGCTCACTAAGCCTCGACCTCCCGGGCTTCAGTGATCCTCCCAAGTAGCTGTAGCTGAGACCACAGGCATGTGCCAGCACACCCAGCTAGGTTTTTTTTTTTTTTTTTTTTTGGCAGAGACAGGATCTCCCTAGGTTGCCCAGGCTGGTCTCCAACTCCTGGGCTCAAGTGATCCTCCTGCCTTGGCTTCTCAAAATGCTGGCATTTCAGGTGTGAGCCATTGCACCTGGCCCCATCTCGTTTTTCTGTATGACTGAAGTATAGCATAAGCAAAAGGAAAGAAGGCTGAATAGAGCCAATAGATGTTAAGAAGGGGGACAACATAGGACCAGATGAAGAACTGCAAATTAAGGATGATAAGTTTTTTGCTGCTGTTGTTTTTTGAGATGCAGTCTCACTCTGTCACCCAGGCTGGAGTGCAGTGGCGCAATCTCAGCTCACTGCAACCTCTGCCTCTCAGGTTCAGGCGAATCTCCTGCCTCAGCCTCCCAGCTAGCTAGGATCACAGGCCTGTGCCATCATGCTAAATTTATTTAGTAGAGACAGGGTTTCACCATGTTGGCCAGACTGGTCTCAAACTCCTGACCTCACGATCTGCCCACCTCAGCCTCCCAAAGTGCTAGGATTACAGGCGTGAGCCACTGCACCCAGCCTAGATTGTCCATATTCTTTAGATAGCTTCTCCAAGTGCCCAGTATAATATTCCAAAATAATGAATATTCAATATGTGCTTATTTATTTACTACATATCTATAGCTGGATACCTCAAATTTTGTTTTTTTAAAATGTACTACTATATGGAAAAACTGCAATATATTTTTTAAATACCTTGCTATTGGTGTTAAAGAGCCCAAAACCAAGGTGAAAGCCTTGGTCAGGTTAGTTTGGTAACCTCTCCCTGCATCCCAATTACCTGGAGAATGCTTAGGATTGTTCTGAAAGTAACAGCTAGCAAAAGCATGGAAGGATTGGCACAAAACATTCTCACCTTTAGAAAGACAACTCAAAATGTGGATTCTGCCAATAGGAAGCCAGTGCTATAATGTTATTTTTGCAAATAAAAAAACAAAACATTCATCATAAGACATCTGACCACGATAACAACAGAGTTCAGCAGTAATCAAGTCGCAGCCCCACAACTACTTACGTCACGAAACTGAACCTTTCCAAGTTCTCCTAATTCACTGACACAACAATAAGCAGCTTCTGACTGTAGAAAAAGCTGGGCCAGTGTCATTTCTTCACTCCGGAAAAGCTCCCCCATGGTGGCAGAAGGTACCAGTCAAGTGGGTACCTGGATTTCTCTCCAATCTGAAGCAAGGAGAAATGACATAACTTTGGAAATTACCACGAGGGCTAAGAGCAAATGACACCCCACTAAGGCTCTTGCATTTACATTTCTTCCACCCCATGAGGACAGGTCAACAACTGTTTTGACACCCTATCTAGAAAGATGGAAAGGAGAAATTGCAAGGGCAGTTCCTGAATCCTGTCCCACAGAGTGCCAGATGAAAAGTCACTTCCGTTCCAGTCAACATCAGGATCAAATGACAACATTTTGGGCAACTCAACATATAAGAATGTATCCAGATTAAAGACAGGAACTGAGAACCTCAAACAACTCTTTAAATACCCAGGACACAATATTGAGGCAGTGACTTTCACACTGTTCAATCTGTTTTTGCTAGTGCAGGAAACAAACAGAAGAGGCCTTGATTACCTCTCATAAAGATGTCTGCCTTGTAACCTTCTCCCTTCTACTGACAATGCGCATTTCTAAAAGCCCAAAGTTCTGGCACTATCCTAAAGCTATGGCTACACTAAAGGGGTTAATCTTCCAGATTCCTCAGAAAATAGTGTTTCCCCCTTAGGAATTCAAACAAATAGCTATTATCTGGAAAAAGCAACCAGCTTGCATATTAAGCTCAATTTCAAATCAAGCATGACAGGAACACACTGGTAATGACAAAGCAGTTTTATCAAGCCACAAAGAATAAGCCTTCTACCTCTGCAGCTTTCTGTTTCTCATCCCTACCTTCAAGATTGATTACATTCTTCCATCTGTCAAATCTCATGAGCCAATAAAGGTTTCGTTTTAGGGCTGTCTTACTGTAGCCGGGTATGAGACAACTGGCGCTATCAGTGGTCCTGAAACTGCAATTATTTATTCTCTATCAGCTAATGTTTAAGGCACAGCCTGTCCAGCATCCAAACTCAGAAAAATGTACAGTAGTTTTAGTGTCATAAGGGCATCTATGTTGAGTACTGATAGATGAGTCTGACATCAAAGGAAGATGTACTCTTCTAGAAGGCTGGGAGACATTTTGAGAAATTGAACGAACAAACCTTTGTGCATGTGATGTTCAAGACAGTAACACAGGCTCAGACATAAGCAAGGACTTCTCAAGAGAATATGTAGGTTGACGTTAAGATTCTGTACATATGAATCATTCAAATCAGCTGTTACCGGCACCACCCTTCAACAAAGAGAGATTCTACAACCTCTAAACACATGAAATGAGGCCTGATCAGCAGAGTTCTGGGGCTGTGGATAATGATAAGCCTCCAATGAGTCGCCTCCCTCCTCCTGCTCTTTAAAGATCACAGGTCTCCCAAGAGTATCTCTATAGCAATGGAGGCTAACAGAAAACTAATTAGGCCAAAGTAGTCTGGACGATTACAAAACAAAATATGAAGAAACAGCAATTCTGCAAAAGATGAGTCCAACTACAGCGCCCCTGCGCCCTGCCTCGAAGAATCTCACTCCTGTCATCCGGTCCTCGCCTCCTCCCACGATATTCACCTGCTTCATTTCCTGTCTACCCAATGAACAGGAATTCTCTGGACCCAGGCACATCTACCTCGGGATGGGAAAAAAGGAGAGGAAAACCCCCAAACTGAGAGACCTTTTAAGAAGCCCCCTAAATTCTTCTGCCTATCCAATAACCTCCCGTTCCTCCGCCCACCCCTTGAAGCAGGGAAGGGATTCGGGACTTCCAAAGGGCAGTGAGCCTCCGGTTCCTCAGGACAGAAGAGGTGCCCAAGGAGGAGGCGAACCCCCATTTTATCTCGAAGACTTAAGATCCCTGCCAATTCCTTTGACAATCAAGGGGACTCTTAGAAGGATTTCCTACGTCCATCGAGGGCCGCTCCCTGTTGCACTAAACCTACAGCCCCAACTCACCTCCAACCGCCGCCACAGCAACCGCCGCCACAGCAACCGCCGCAGCCAAGCCCGCAGCCTCCGCGGCTCCGGGAGCAGCGCTTCGACGTCCGTGCGTCCGCAAAGCCCCACCCCTGCGCCGCCGCCGGCCCCGCCCCCGCCCCCGCAATGACCTCATTGCAGTTGGCCAATGGGGCGCGGCCTTGCCTGGGCTGCAGCGGTGCGAAATCACGGGGATCGCAGGCGAGACTCGGCAAGCTGACGCCATCTTGGCCCTTGTGCTGTGTCTCCAGGATGCGGAGGGTTAGCAGGAGGGGCTGGAGTTGCAGGTGCTCGAGGCCTTAAGTTTCTGAGCCTCCCTGAATCCTTTTTCCTTACCCCTTGTACTGAGGCAAGGTTGTCTTTTCTCTTTCTTTTTTTTCTTTTTTTTTTTTTTGATGAAGTCTCACTGTGTTGCCCAAGCTGGAGTGCAGTGGCGTGATCTCGGCTCACTGCAATTTCCACCTCCTGGGTTCAAGCGATTCTCCTTCCTCAGCCTGCCAAGTAGCTGGGACTACAGGCACGCACCACCATGCCCGGCTAATTTTTGTATTTTTTTTTTAGTAGAGACGGGATTTCACCATGTTGGCCAGGCTGGTCTCGAACTCCATACCTCGTGATCCACCCGCCTCCGCCTCCGCCTCCCAAAGTGTTGGGATTACAAGCGTGAGCCACCACGCCCGGATTTATTTTTTATTTATTTATTTATTTTTAAGATGGTCTGTTTCCCAGGCTTGAATGCAATGGCGCATTCTCGGCTCACTGCAGCCTCCGCCTCCCGGGTCCAGGCGATTCTCCTGCCTCAGCCTCCCTAGTAGCTGAGATTACAGGCGCGTGCCACGCCGCCCAGCAATTTTTGTATTTTTAGTAGAGATAGGGTTTCGCCATGTTGCCCAGGCTGGTCTCGAACTCCTAGCCTCAAGTAATCCACCCGTCTCGGCCTCCCAAAGTGCTGGGATTACAGGTGTGAGCCACCGCGCCCGGCCCTCTCTTTATTTTTCATATCGAAAGAATGAATTCACACATACCCAGATAATTAATGTCTTCTCTATTTTCATATCCAAAGAATACACACACACACACACACACACACACACACACACACACCCCACCCTTTCCCTTTTCCCTTATTTTACAGATGAGAACATTTGAGCCCCAGACCGGGGAGAGGCTAGCTTTAGATCCTGTAGTGGAGTATTTAATGGGGTCTCATTCGCATAAGTATGGAAAACCTGTCTTTAAATGGTACATGGTTCATGCCTTCCAGCAACTTCCCCGGGTCTATTTTTCTCTATTTAACAGGAAAAACCTCATCAGACCATATGTTGTGAAAGTACATTTCAGTCCTGTTTGGTAGATTCATGTGGGCTCATTTGACCACTTAAGAGTTTTCAATTCCTCAAATTTATTTTAAAAACATTTTTTATGGCTTGTATTCTTGTAAATTAAATATCGAAAAACGTTTTTAAACTCTGAAGTGATACCTGTTATTTTTTAAATGCCTTTCTCAAATATTGATACTGATTCCCTTTTCTTGCCTTTTTAAGGAAGAGTGGGATCTCAGGTCATTTGTGATAACCAGAATCGTTTATGATAACCAGAATCAGGAAAAACTCAGAAAACCGGTTATTCAGTCTCCCTGGGTGGTGGAACCCTATTGAAATTCAAGTGTGATGAGGGAGATATTCCAGATGAAAACTTGTTGCTGATAATTTTGTCAACCTGAAAAAAAAAATAATCAAACCTGCTTTACCAACCTAAACAAAATAATAAGGGGGCAAAAATGGATGTTCTATTTGAATTTATTGTCTCATATTGTGAGCGAAGATATAAATTGACTTTGATACAATCTTAAGACACAGAGTCTTAGAGCCATACCCTACTTCTCCCTGCTGCCTAGCTGTCAACTCTTCTGGCAAGACAGATAGGCACCCACATTTGAAAGCCTGCCAAGTTAGAGAAAACTATTACACAATGTCATTTCCTTCCTCTGAGAGTTAAAAAAAAAATTAACCTCAGTCAGCTGCTTGCTAACCACAAATTTTTCACACTCCACTTTTAAGACAGCCTTTCCTCTGGACTTACTTCAATTCCCTTGAACTCTTTTCATAGCTTCTTTGAAAGAATATTGTTTCAGAACTCCTTTTCTGTTTGCTTCCACCTCCTGCCATCAATCCTTCCTTGGTGTTCTATTTATTTTCCCTCCATGCTCTCTTCCTTGATGGTCTTGCCTGTTGGCAAGCTTAAACGTTTATGTATAGAACTCATATCTGTTTTTCCACCTGACTCCATTCTTCAAGACTCAGAAATGGAATTTCATACTGCCTGCTGGATAGTGCCTTTTAGGCAGCAGATGCTTGCTGAGGGCCTGCTATGTGCCAGAGAGGGGTGCTAGGTGCTGGGGACAGAAAATGAAACAGACATGCTTCTTATCCTAGAAGAGCTCATGGTTCAGTGAGAAATAAACTTCCCAAATGGCAAGAGAGAGAGGAGTCCAATGATTAATACTTGCTATGTGCCAGGCACTTTTCTACATGCTTGGTAAATACGAACTCATTTAATCCTCACAACAACACTAGGAGGCAGTTACTATTATTATCCCCATTTAACAGATGATATGGTAAAACTGAGGCATATGTCCAATAAGATCAAATTTAAAATGCTGTTGACCACACCTACAGCCCTAGCAGACATTAGCAATTCCATATGAGGCTTGGCCGGTGACACAGTTCTGAGTATCTAAACCAAGCTATTCTCTAGCATTTGTGAAAATGGCTAAAAAACAATTAAAGCCAGGTGTGGTGGCTCACGCCTGTAATCCCAACACTTTGGAATGCTGAGGCAGGTGGATTACCTGAGGTCGGGAGTTCGAGACCAGCCTGGCCAACATGGTGAAACCCTGTCTCTACTGAAAATACAAAAAATTAGCTGGGCATGGTGGTGCATGCCTGTAATCCCAGCTGCTCAAGAGGCTAAAGCAGGAGAATCACTTGCACCCAGGAGGGGGAGGTTGCAGTGGCCGAGATCGTGCCATTGCCCTCCAGCATAGGCAATAAGAGCAAAACTCAGTCTCAAAAAAAAAAAAAAAATTATAAAGATTAGTTCTTCACTACCACAAAAAGAATAGAACAGAGGTAGGGATCTAACTGATAGAGTCTCAAAAAGTTATGACAATTGTTGCTGTAGTGAAATGATTAAATGTGGTTTTTTTATGTTTAATTTTTAGTTTGAATTCATGTCAACTGTCCAAATTTCCACCAGTAAAGAATCAGCTAGCTCGTGTTAGCTTATCCCACTTAGATGGGATAGAGGATAATGGGGCCTAGAGGAGAGTTTTAACGTTAAGCCCAGTGTTTTGAAATACATATCTGCTCCAATGTCTTCTCCATAGGCTTCCAGTATTCGTTTCCTAAGGCCGCCATACAAATAACCACAACCTGGGTAACTTTTAAAACAACAGAAATCAGACCAGCCATGGTGACTCATGCCTGTAATCCTAGCACTTTGGGAGACCGAGGCGAGCCTATCACCTGAAGTCAGGAGTTCAAGGCTAGCCTGGCCAACATGGGGAAATCCCATCTCTACTAAAAATACAAAAATTAGCAGGATGCGGTGGTGGGCGCCTGTAGTCTCAGCTACTTGGGAGGCTAAGGCAAGAGAATCACTTGAAACCAGGGGGCAGAGGCCGCAGTGAGCCAAGATTGCACCACTTCACTCCAGCCTGGACGAAAAAGCAAAACTTTGTCTCAAAAAAACAACAACAGAAATTGGCCACATGTGGTGGCTCACTCCTGTTATCCCAGCACTTTGGGAGGCCAAGGCAGAAGGATGTCTTGAGCCCAGGAGTTTGAGACCAGCCTGGACAGCACAGCAAGACCCCTGTCTGTAAAAACTATATATAAAAAATTAGCTGGGCGTGGTGGCACGTGCCTGTAGACCCAGCTACTCAGGAGGCTGAAGTGGGAGGATGGCTTGAGCCTGAGCCAGGGAGGTTGATGCTGCAGCGAGCTGTGATTGAGCCACTGCATTCCAGCCTGGGTGACACAGCGAGACTCTGTCTCAAAAAAACAAAAACACAGAAATTTATTCTCTCACAGTGGAGGCTAGACGTCTGAAATCAAGGTGTCTGCAGAGCATGATATCTCCAAAGGCTCTGGAAAAGAATCCTTTCTTCCCTCTTCCTGGCTTCTGGTGGTTGCCAGAAATCCTTGGTGTTCCTTGGCTTATAGATGCAATCATCTCAATTGCTGCCTCCATCTTCACATGGTATTCTTTCTTCTTTATGTCTCTCTCTCTCTCTTTTTTTTTTGTTTGAGATAGAGTCTTGCTCTGTCACCCAGATGAGTGCAGTGGTGCAATCTCAGCTCACTGCAACCTCCACCTCCCAGGTTCAAGCAATTCTCCTGCCTCAGTCTCCTGAGTAGCTGGGATTACAGGTGTACACCACCATGCCCAACTAATTTTTGTATTTTCAGTAGAGACGGGACTTTGCCATACTGCTCAGGTTGGTCTCAAACTCCTGGCTTCAAGTGATCCCCCCGCCTCAGCCTCCCAAAGTGCTAGGATTACAGGAGTGAGCCACTGCACCTGGCCTCCTGTGTGTGTCTCTGTCTGTAGGCAAATTCTCCTCCTCTTATAGGGACACCAGCCATTAACTTAGGGCACCACTTAATCCAGTATGATCCCATCTTAACCTGATTACATCTGCAAATATCCTATTTCCAAATAAGGCCACCTTCACAGGTTCCCCGTTATACATGAATTTTTTTTTTTTTTTTTTTTTGAGACGGAGTGTCACTCTGTCATCCAGACTGGAGTGCAGTGGCGCAATCTCGTCTCACTGCAACCTCTGCCTCCCAGGTCCAGGCAATTCTGCCTCAGCCTCCCAAGTAGCTGGGATTACAGGGCCTGCCACCACACCCAGCTAATTTTTTTCTATTTTTAGTAGAGATAGGGTCTTTTTGTTTTTTTGTTTTTTGTTTTTTGTTTTTTTTGATACAGAGTCTCTGTAACCCAGGCTGGAGTGCAGTGGTGCCATCTTGGCTCACTGCAACCTCCTCTTCCCGGGTTC